CAAAGACAGCAAAGGAAGGATTTTGACATCCAGCTATTTTTTACTTTGCATTCACGTTCTGTTTCTGTCAATAACAATTTAAAGCAATATATTCACTGAGAACATCTGCCCCCATCCTCCCGATGTATTTCATAGTGTCAACATTCATTCGGAAAAAAAGTCTTTAATCTTTCTTGTTTGTTTGTAAATGCAGTGGTAATTGACGATCAAAACTTTTAGAAACAAACGGGACATCCTTCCTTTGAAGTTCAAAAAGGAACGTGCGTTAATGATAAGTTAACGTAATTTCAAGCAATTTTCGGACTATCGTATACCCAGTTCAAAAAGTGTTCAGCCGTTTGACCAAACGCTCAATAGCACCCCGCTATACAATTTCAGAACGTAATAAATTGAGGGGTCTTGTGAAGATGACAAGCAGAGAAGACATTGATGATTCAAGCAATGAAGACCGTAGATCTCAACCTGAAATTATCACTATCGTGAACTGTGCCTTGAATGCTCCACTGATGCTCATATCCATTACTGGTAACACTTTGGTGCTAGCCGCCATATTGAAAACTCCTTCGCTTCGTTCACCGTCAACAATTTTGCTGTGCAGTTTGGCTGTGTCAGATGTCTTCGTTGGACTTGTCGCGCAACCGGTTTCCATCGCTTATCAGTTGACAGAGAAAGATTCCCTACATCAGGCAGTTAGAACGGTGGCGTTTCTTGCAGTAGGAGGTTCACTTTTGACAATGACAGCCATAAGTGTGGATCGGTTCGCGGCTCTTCATTATCACATGCGATATCCGAGCTTGATGACTACACAACGCGCGTTATATATCTCAGCAGTTCTATGGTTGGTTATCTTCCTTTCTTCATGGTTACCCTTTTGGAACATAAGTGCTTATTACTCGGTGATAGCTGCTAGTATCGCTATTTGTCTATGTCTCTCCTCTCCTTGTTACATCAGAATCTACAGCATTGTTATCCACCACCAGTTACAAATTCACAATCAACAACAGGCCATGGAAATTAACGCTGATCATAATCGAAACTTCCTCCGATCAACAAGAAGTGCTAAAAACACTTTTATATATTACGTCGTAATGCTCCTGTGTTACACCCCGATGTTTATTGGAGTTTCAGTTTCAGTTTCAGTTAATCAATTTTCAAAACCGTGGACCTTCGTTGAAACGATAGCATTTATGAACTCGTCAATCAATCCATTTTTGTATTGCTGGCGCCTGCGGCAGCTTCGAACAGCAGTTATAAAAATAGCAAGGCAGCTGTTATGTAAACAAATGGAAGAAAACTAGCTAAGTGAAGTTAAGAGTGTTTTCAGCGTGAAATGCGAGTCTAAATCAAGACAAACGTACACATATCAAAACCCCAGCGGAGAGCTGAATTATATAGCTTTCTAAAGGCCTCCATCGTCCTAAATGGACTGAGCAAGAGCTTCCTACGTCGAGAAGCGATTAAATTTCATGCAAATTAGGCCATAAATCTGAGTAAGCGAAAACTCCACATGTCTATATTATCGACCGGAAAACGACACATCGAATTCCTTCCGCGCTAGCGAATTACAGAGAGCTCTGATTGTTAGCTAAGGCGAGAGCGCCTAAAAGTGATAAAACAAGGAAAGGCCACTCACATCAGCACATGAAGTGATTTTCTTGACTCTGTCCGTGGCAATGTTTTGCTCGCAAATAACAATGTCCCGGATGTACTTGAATTTCCTCGAGCGTCTTCAGCCACATCAAATTTCGGGCCTGTTCAATTGCACTTCTAAGCCCCAACTGATGTGGCTAAAGCTCTTTGCTGTCTGAAGCAAGCACAGCATTATCGCCACAATGCAAACGGCCTAATTACGGGGGAAAATCGCGATCCCTGCCATCTCAGGGCCGTTTCATGTACGATAATGGACGACGCTTGCTGGCAAATCGTTAGACTTGCACCTTCATTGGACTTAACAGACTTAAAATTCAGACGATGGTAGACAGGGCTCAAGTTAACTCTAATTGAAGAGGAGAGGGGAGAGGGAAGCAAGAAGTTCTATACATTTCAGGCTAGATAAGCTTTAGAAGCTGCTGCGTTTAGGAAGCCACAAAAAAATAATAGAATAATAAAAAAGAAGGGTTACATGAATGAAGGGGCTCATTCTACAGCCATGTATTTGGAAAATCAGCCAGATATGTAAAGATGGTAAAATGTTGAAAAAATGCATTTATTTTGTACTAAATTTACTAAAGCCAGTGCTTGGAAACCAGAAGTTGTGTACGTTATAAGCGATATTTTTTATATATATCAAAGTTCCAGTCATGCTTTTGAAAAAGTTTCAAGAGAAATGGCCACAGTTGCATGCCTTCCTCGTTGCATGTGTAAGGTTGTTCGTTAAATGCGAGTTCGTAAACCACAGGTAAGATGAAGTTTTGGGTGTCCATTTTGTTTTCTTCTAAAGCTTATGTAAATAAACAAAAGTAATCGGTCTTGCCGTGTTGTCAAATCTTCCTCTAATTGTCGTCCGTCTCCGGGCAACTTGACCAGTTTGATGAAACTTTGAATATAAATTAATGTGTCTGAAATTCAACCATCACCCTTGTGTAAATGCTACCTTTAGTTATAACGAGTTTTAAAGCCACAGATCTTGGCAAAGTGTCTTGAGAACAAAAAAATAGTCGTTGAATAGAACAAAACGTCGCTGAATAGAACAAATCTATTCTAAACGTGTTGGAAAGTTCAAAACACAAAGGTGACAAATGGTAATCGACTTTTTAAAGAGAAAAGAAAACCACGGAGACGATATATTTGCGTTAAGAATGCTCTAATATTTGTTGTTTTCCGGGTTGAAAAATCTATTGTTCCTTTTAGATTCGTTGTAGCATTAGTTTTTCACTTTGAGATATGAAACTTAAGCGTTCGTTTTCAACAAAACGTTGTCTCTTATTTTGGGCTTGTCTTGTTGGTCTTACAGTGCTCCTCCAAAATGCCATTGTTATTTTAGTATCAATCTGCAACAAGGGATCCTGTTGCTTGAAGCTCGGAGAAGCAGACACATACCCTACAAGGAAACTCGGTGAGTGCCATGTCTATCATTGTTGGTGATTCTATTAGTATCGATATTGATCAAAATAGAATTTCGCAGTACAATTTCAGTGCATTGCTAAGGAGATACGTGACGAGAATAAAGAAAACCATCGATTAGAGGTCCAAAAAACATATTGTCGACATGCGACGGAAAAAGATAGCGTACTGAAACAGCGGGGAGGAAAAACAAGTAATTACATAGAGTTCCCAGAATCTAATTTTTAAGCATTGCTGTTTATAAGCATTGTCTTGAAAGAGATAGCAAATTGCCGATGCAACTGGTTTGGGACTGACATATTATAAATTAATGTTGTTACACCAGACTTTGTCAGACCCATAGCATTATAGTTAATTCGACTTAATTCTTCACATAAGGGCCGGGTTAACAATAATTCTTCAAATTTTCATGTCGCTCGGAAAAAAAAAAATCATTAAAAGAAATAGAGTGATAATAAATTTAATTACCTCAATCGAGACTGTGTCTTTTTAATCATGCGTCAATTTCCAATATGTCTGCTTAAAAGTAACAAATATCGACAGGGCCCGATTATGGCCCCTGATATCAACTAATTTACTGAAATGTAATTAGACAAAATCCACGCTTGTGGTTATTTTCACATTTTCATCTGTGCATTGCTGCATTATATTGTGTTTGGAAATACACATTTTACTATACATATGTTATTATTTTTTAACTTAATTTCCAGACCATGATTCTCAAGAAAATGAAAGCTCTCGGCTTTTGCATCAGCGTTCACAGATCGATTCCACACCAGAAAAGATGGTTTCCGAAGCCCTTGAAGACCATCGTAAGTATAAATATTTTATTTTGAAAGAAAAAAGTAAAATTTTGGTATCCAAACAGTTGGTTTGTCGARGAACAACAACAACAACAACAACAACACGAGTTCCTTATTTGACCCTTATTTGCCGAATTCTTGTCAACTCCGTATATCTCTGTTCAATTCCATTTCAATTTAACCAGCTTGACTTCGATGCTTAGCAAGCTTGACTTCATTGCTGCTCCTGGTGTTGTGGGAGGCGCGGTGGCCTCATGGTTAATGCACTCTACTCCTGATCGAGCAGTACGGGTTCGAGCCCTGGCTAGAGACATTGCGTTGTGTTCTTGAGCAAGACACTTTGCTCTCTCAGTGCCTTTCTTCACCCAGGCGTATTAATGGGTGCGGCGAATTTAATGCTGGGGGTAACCCTGCGAAGGACTGAAATCCCATCCAGGGGGGAGTAGAAATACTCCTAGTCGCTTCATGTTATAGAAACCGGAGATAAGCGCCGGCCTGATGGGCCACTTGGCTCGTATGTAGACTTAATCTTACTTATTTCGAGTTTTCGTTTTATTTGAAGCACATTTGACAGCACATTGCAAAAGTGACCAATTGGAACCCTGTTGTGTAAGCCACACGTAGTCAGAGACTAGGGGCAGCTTACAAGGCCTCTGCTAAGGAGCAGATCGTTAAAGCAGCTCAGATTTGTTTTAATTATCATTGTTTTTTTCAGCTGAAGAAATCACAACTAAATCAACAACCTGTGAGATACCTGAAGATCCCAAATTCCCTCTCTGTTCAATGAAGGTCAAGGTTAGTTTGAATAATTTTGTATTTGGAAATAACAGTAAAATGATGTTATTTGAAAACTGTACTTGGATATAAAGTTGTTTCAATTCATGTAGCTTGACTTTAAATTTGGGGAGGAAAAGTTGAGCTATGGATGTGAGTAAGTGAAGTTAGCCTGATTAACAGACTGGTGTATAACCACTTTCTATATTGTAACAATTTTACGAAATTTTTATTTCTAGATGCATGCAACATAAAATTGAAGCTTGTTCTTTAAAAATCCGCCTTGTTGGTGGTGTTATATATAGATGTTGTTATAAGTGGCGGAAAATGAACTGATATATCAGATTAATCGTGAGACGGAGACAAGAATTAGATGCCATCTGAATGTTTCGGGTCCTCAAAGGGAAGAGCGGAATATATCCCATTTCTAGCCCGAATTTGCTCAAATGCCAATTCCCGGCCAATTTTTGGGCAAATCCCTTTCCCATTTCAAGTTTTCTGATTTTCATTTCCAGTCCCAGGGACCCAAATCCTATTTTCCCGATGAAAAATAGGCAAATCCGGCTCAGTTCCCAATTTACCCCACGAGGCCTCTCGACTGTCAATGGGCCCTCTTTAGAATCTATCATATTGTGTTTACTTCTGTTTGATTTTCCATTTTTTGTTGCTGTTTCTTTTTTTTAACAGTCTTTTTCTGATGCCTGGAATACCAAATGTCATGGCGAGAAACATCACGTGACACCGAACAATCTCTGTTCCGTGATTCAATACCTGAGTGAAGTGAGTTAAATCATTATACAGTGAATTTTAAAAATCAATGCTTCACTAATTAATGTTGTGATTGTTTTGTTTTGTTTGTTTGTTTTAGTCTCTGTCTGTTTCTTTCTTTTTTAAAGAAAATATTCATTCAAGTATTCAAACCATTAATTGGTAACAAAAAATGGACTGACACCTAACAGCAATGTCTATGAATTGGGGTTTTGCAATGTTTCCAATTTTTTTTTTCTTTTTTCTTTTTCGTGATCATTGCTTCAATACAATAATTCCAGGCAAGGCGTAAAGATAAGCTTGAATTTTTCACTATCAGTGATTCGTGTTGTAGTTTCTTTTCTCAACTCCATGCGATCAAGTGCGAAATTGTATCATTTGTAAATGGCACACAATTCAATGACCAAACGAAATGTGCTAAGACATAAACGCAATAGTAATCTTTTGTTGTTTTATTGTCGCTTCTTTGCTTTTCAAAGGTCGAGGCTTGGTGCCCAGTGTTGCCTTGGCGACGTGATCATGATCCCTTTAAACCATCAGTCAATTTTACAGAGGTTTGTTTTAACGTTATGCCCAACGTGTAAGCAATATAACACTAGCGGTAGAGGAGCACTGCTGTACCAACAGATATGTTGTAAGTATTTTAAAACAGCTTTAACTTAGCTAATAACGCGAGATTCCTCGAAAGACAATTAAATAAATAATCAAATTTGATCCTGTGTGTTGTCTGAAAAAATCTTGTACCAAAAATACCTTAATCATGTAAGATAACAACTTATTTTCTGGCCTGGGTTATTCGAAAGGTTAATAATCACTATCCAGTGGATAAATTACTATCCAGTGGATAACGTGACTTGTTTTGTTAACACTTATCCACTGGATAGCTATTTATCCGGTAGATAACGTTATCCAGCTTTGGAACAACCGGAGCCAAATGGGCTGTATGCCATTACTCTTAGTGCACGATGTACCAGTCTTGAAGTTAGCCAATGAAATCCGTGCCTTTTGTTCACAGGCCAAAATCCGCACTAACGTGTCTGGACTACTAGAAGAACTGAAAGATGAACGCTACGCTTGGATGAGACTTCGAATCACTGAAACATGGCCGCAGTGGGTGGAAGCCATAAAACAACTTGCCATCACAAGAGATATGTCCAGGAGGAAAAGGAGAAAGGTAGAGCAACTGAAATAAGTTGTACAAAAATAATACTGTCGGAAAAAAAAATGACGTGCGTGTCTACGCCGAATATAATTTGCAGAAACTTAACTTCTCCTTCTCATGATCCCAAATTATGGAGAAGTCTTGGAGGACCTCACGTAACGTTAAGACTTTTGGAACTTTTATCAACATTATTGTCTTTTAATTCCCTTCTTGTTTTTGTTTTCTATATAGTTATAAGCTCATAACGATCGCAATTTTTATCTATAATTGGCTCGGTCTAACTAGCACCGTGTGCGTTTTATATTATTCTTTTATTAAGCATAGTTGAAACTTTGTTACTGTTGTAGTTTGTTGTTTTTATGACGACTGTATTGAAATTGCCCTGTGCTTCAGTTGAAACGTTTTTCCTCCAGATTGCTCTTTACATGGGAAGTTTAGAGTTCAACTTTAAGATCTTCACAGAAGCTTTTACTGGTGGCTGTCTCGGCGAACTCAGTCAGTGGAGTGATGTCATGAGCGCACTGTATATATTAGGGCATGATTTGACAGTAACCAGTGACAAAAATGACCTTCCAAAGTAAGTGTATATTTTATTACCTTTACACAAGTGTTAAGGCATAATTTTGTAGGGGACCACCAGTGAAACAGGAATTGCAAGAGTGAACAGGGATGGGAGATGAAAGGAAGATACGAAATCTCAGCAACTTAATCTATGTGGGTTACGGTTGTCTTTAAGAGTTAACCATTACAATTATTGACAGCTAACCATTGTCGAATCAGTGATGTTTAGGCCAACCATGGCGTCATCTCGTCATCTCGTCATTTTGTGTTTTAAGCACGCCCTAGGTACCAAGCTGTTGGTTCTGGTGGTTTATACTTGGGTCAAGTGCCAGAGACTATAATATCGTAGCTTTTGGTATGATCATTTTTCCTGAATGGATTTCTGTGGCAAGTAATGAGATAAAAAAAAGTAATAATATTAATAATATAATCTGACTGTTTCTATCGGCTGAGCTTCCTGTGATCAAGGTATGGGTTTAGATTTTGCAAAATCGTATGTTTAACATAGATCACTTGCATATCCCCCTTGAATGGATTACTGTGGCAGTGCATGAGATAATAAATAAAGAAAGAAAGAAAGAAATAAAAATAATATTAATAACATAATCTAATTGTTTCTATCGCCTGAGCTTCCTGTGATCAAGGTATGGGTTTACATTTTGCAAAATCGTATGTTTAGCACAGATCACGCGCATATCCCCTTTAAGTGAAACCTTTTTTGTTGGCAGTATTATTACACCACCCGACCCGGACGGCTGTGCCTCCAGACTACTGGGTGACAACCTGAATCTCATATTTACCGATATCATTGGCGTTCAGAGTTTGGCTGATGCTAGTGGACCGCATGAGTCTCGTTACAGGTCAGCATAACACTATTTTTTTTAGAAAACAGCCATAAGCAAATACGCGCGCTGATTGGTTAAAAATCATGTTTCTATTAAACAACTAGAATATGAGCTCGAGATTTCTATCGCGTGATAACTTTCACACATAGACATCGAGAGCGAATAATCTAATTGTTTTAGTATAAATCTATTAGTCGCTTAAAACTTTATCTAAAACCTCTTCACAGACACTTCAAATACGGCAGGAAGCGGCGGTCATTTTGTTAGCAAGGGCACACTGCTACGCTACACACTATCTATCTCAGAATAGATAGTGGGTAGCGTAGCTAATCAGAGAACGGCATTGGTGATAGAACGCTAGTAGATTTATACTAAAACTCGATAGGAACATGGTACATGTTTTCTATTTCTTAAATGTTAAAGGTCGGCACACACTAATAGAGAACATGTTGCGGGGACATGATGAAGCGAGGACATGTTGCAGCGACAGTTTTCTTCTTGTGACATACCTGTTTTGGCGAAACGTTCCGTTGCGGGGACAAACTGTTAAAAATATATATATATATTTCAGCATCCTTCCTTTCCTCTCTTAAATTTTTTTTGGTTTAACAATGTAACTTACTCTGGAGACAGAGATACTCGAAATGAACGTACTCTAGAAGCAAGACCTGAGGTGTGATGCTAACAGTAATTATATACATGCAACAATTGACTGAACAAAAAAAAAACAGTGCAAAATGTTGAAATTGAGTGCATAGAGTTGAAATTAAACTGCATGTATACTATTAACAAGTAATCAGATGATTTTTCTTGTGCAATTTGGAATAAATAAGCTCGTAAATTTTTCGAGGCATGACTTTTTAGTGCTTAAAGAATTTCCTTTTGCCTATTTGTCCAAATTGTACTCTACATTACTACTGTTGAATTTTTCTTGTGATTCGATCAACCAAGAGTAAGTTAATTTTTGCAGAAATAAACCTGATTGAAAAATATACTATACTTTTTGTTTTGCGTGCATTACTGGTCTCTGTTACAATGCATTAAGTAACACGAGTATTTTTTCACATTTCGTTAATTAGATGCAAGATGCGTGTTCTCGACTCGTTTGGTACAGACGCTGAATTTAACTATCGATATTATAAAGAAAACATTCCTGGTGGACGATCTATCTGGGGAAATCTGAATCTGCTGCTTCCACAATTTATGACCATGTATCGTAAGTAGCGCATTTTCATTTGTAAGGTGTCACAACAGGTTTTAACAAAAGAACTTCAACAGAGCTGTGGGGTTATTAAAAGTATGCAGCTCCCACGAACAGTCTGCTAGAGAACTTTGTTATGACAAAACTCAGGCTACCAACTGCTGACCAAACGGAAAATTGGCTCTTCCTATTTTGCGCATGCTATATGTGTCCTGACTTGTTTCTAGGGTAGGGGAGTCAAACATATTCGGAATTTTTCTGTGGAAAAAAGCTGGCTCGCCACCCAAGATTATGCTTCTAAACGAGTGACCCTCCACCCTGGATCATCTGGTTATAAAGAAATGTATGAAATGGTCCCAGTTTTGTTTAAATCATGTTTTATTTCGCACGAAAGATGACAGCCTGTCCCTTGTTTAATTATGTTATGACCTCTTTTTAGCCGATTCCCTGCGATTGCATTGCTACTTTGCTCTCTTTTGCTTTTCGCTTGATTATTTTGAATTTGCTTCTTGCAGCCCACAGTCCCGATAACTCGTTTATGGGTTTCGCTGTTCCCCAGAAACAGCACTCGCTGCATGTGAATGGCCAGAAAAGTAGAAAACACGCCCTCGTCTATGGAAAACTACCACATTTTTGGCAGGTATAGATACTTGTTTGGCAGGTATAGAAACTTGTTTGGCAGGTATAGAAACTTGTTTGGCAGCTATAGAAACTTGTTTGGCAGCTATAGAAACTTGTTTGGCAGGTATAGGAACTTGTTTGACAGGTATAGAAACTTGTTTGGCAGGTATAGGAACTTGTTTGGCAGGTATAGAAACTTGTTTAATAGGCCATTTAATTTCCGAGTTGTCGTGTGCCTCTGTTTCAAAACGCGTCCTCATGTAAGACCTGTCATTTGAAAATGAGTTTGATTTGCGCGAAGACTTGTTTTGACACAGAGGCAAAAGGCAACTCGGAAATGGCCAAGGGAAATAAATAAATATATTTGGCCATAATATTCACTGAATGCCAAATGATTCAACGAATTTCAAAAGGTGATGCTAGTGTCACGCCATGGGAAAGAGGCTTCGTTACGCTTGTGTAACAGCATGATGAAGATACTAGATCACAGTGACAGTATACGGTAGCTTGGAGGGACTATGTTTCGCCTGTGTCACGCCACCTATTAATAGGCTGTAGGTAAAACTATGCTTAACAATTCAAGTCAAGTATATATTCTTAAAATTGAAGTGCTAAATTGATCATCTTTGCTAGGTTTAGCCTACTAACGAACGTTTCCAAACGAACGAGGTGTTTCTTCAGCAATATTTTTGCTCTCGCCCCAATTTTCGCGCCACCCGTACCAGAAGGCAAGAAACTCTCCGTTCGATCGAACGGGATGCTTGCTACGAAAGCTAACCTGATGTTTAAAAAGTTCTAAGATCTGATTTCTCTTTGCAGGGTAAGACGCAGTACATCGATACGATAAAGAAATACTTTGGTGAAGTTCATGCCAACATTGGAAATTTTAATGTAAGATATGATTACAACATCATATTCTTAGTACTTCGAGCCTGTGTAAATAGGTCTTGATAGAAACTTCTTTTCCTGATTATACAACAGCGAAGCACATGCCAAAAGCTAATAATATTAATTGTAGCAAGTCTTGTTTTTGGAAGTATGGTTGTTTCAGTTGGGGGTAAATCAATAAGCTATGAAACAGAAAATTGGAAAATCAGGTAACGAAAACGTTGCCAGTTCCTTAGAATAAATTGTTGAGAATGATTTTTTTTTTTGGTTTGCCAAACAACAACAAAAACATTTCAAAACATTCAATTCCAATCCAGAACCATCAGAAGCCTTGATGCTACCAGATGGCCACTTGAACCACTAAATACACGTTTACGTTTTAAAGGGTATGAAGACCTTTGACTGGTCTTGGTATTTAGTATGTAAACATTTAGCATTTTTAAATGCTAAAATATGGTTTAAAAACCATATTTGTTTTGTCTTGTTTCCAGGAAAGTGAGCTTAGAAAGTATGACATACCTGACTACATCATTAATCACGGCATTGTCAATATTTCTACACTCATGAATCTTTTTCAAAGTAGTAAGGTAAGTGTCCATGAATGATAGTTTTGTAAATTTTTTGACTCCTAGATTCCCTAGGGTGTGCAATCGATTTCTTGTTATAATATCAATAAGTCTAAGCAGAGATGCCAGAACAAAGAAGAAAATATGAACAAGGGTATATTGCTGTGATGGGCCTTCAACATCTTCGAACATTTCTTGGAACTGAGTGGTCAGCACTTTGCAAACAAAACATTTTTAAACATTTTTTCTTTTTCTTTTCTTTTTCTTTTTTTTTTCTCCAATTTGTTTTCAGGTGTTCGTAGGCCTGGGTGACCCATTTGAAGGACCAGCAGCTCTTGAGGCTCTAGCCAATGGATGTTACTTTATTAATCCTAAGGTAATTCAAGAACCCGTCTCTAGGAGTGTGTATCTGTCCATATTGTACCTTATGTTACTGCGTTGTAGCTATGTTTAGAATAGGCCCTACATTTTAGAACTCTGCCTTTTGTTTGCGTTTTTGTCATGCTAGTATTTTTTAAACCACTTTAAATTGACTTACTCGCCATGGAGCAACACCTCTTTGTCTAAATTGACGCTTTCTTATCTTTGTTAAGTTTAATCCTCCTTTTGATCGTGTAAATCATGGATTCTTCGTCGACAAACCCATGGATAGGAAGGTACGGAAATTATAAATTACGATAACTTGATAAACACTAACCGATTGCTTCGCATATTCTTTTATATCAAAAATACTTGATCATCAAAGTAACTTCCTTGTAGATTTACACAGCCGATTCGGGTGGGGAGAGGGGATGGGGGTAATGATTGGAATCTGGGAATTGAAGAAAGGGGAGAGTGTGCTAGACTGAAAGTAAGAATGTCTTAGGTGTTTTAAGCGAAACATGATTTAGGCATCGTTGTAAGGTCATCTTCACAAGCTAGATGGTCTGCTCTTTCACATCTGGCACTGTAAAGATAAGCTGCTGCCGCTCTCCGGGGCTGGCCTTTCGTTGAGGTTGTCCCAACAGTTTGTCAGCACGTAGCTATTGGACATCTAGGCAGTTTGGAGGAAATCACTGTGAGAGTGTCTCTCCCTAGAATACTGCACAGGGACCTCCAACAGGATCTTAGTTTATTAACCCGCCAATCTAAAACCATGTGTGACTACCACTGAATTTTGAGAGCTGATAAAGTTAACAGTGCATCTTTTGTGTTATCTGATCTAAATAAACAGATCACATCTCAAAACCCCTATGTTGAAGTATTCGTTGGAGAACCATTCGTCCAAACTGTTAACATAGAGAACATTGCAGAAGTTGAAGAGGCCTTACAGAGAATTCTGGATTCGTCGGTAAGTATGAAGAAGTAAATTGCTCAAAGGCTCTGTAAAACAGAACTTTTTCTTTTAATAATGAACGAATTAATCTACTTGCATGGGAAGTCTCAAAAATGTTAAATTTGGTGACAATTTTTTGGACTCTTTCACACCTAAACTAATATATATTCAAAACGTATAACTTGAAAATCTGCATTTGATAACGGGGACAAGATGACGCCGAAACGTAACGTAATAAACGTTTATACTTCTTTTAAAATTGACGACTCAACAAGCTAAATTTCCAGTAAAATAAAAAACGCTTGGTTGCTAAGCACTGATATTTTATCATTTGCTTTATTGACGGTGTTTTTGTGAGAAGACGTTATTAGAAGAAAGGGTACATGTTTTTCCCTTTTGAAAATCTCACTCAAAGAGCTAATATATCTCTATTACTTTATATCAAACGCGTAGTTCGAATGATCAAACCACAAGACTTGGTTTGGGGTGTTCTTTGTGTTCTGAGATGAAACTGTGCGTGTCATAAAGGAAACACATTTATTTCCTACAACTTGTGATGTCAATAAGTGTAGCTTGCAACAAACCTATTGTTTCAGTATTATCTATTTTTCCTAACTTTCAGGCAAGTGCTCATCTACCCTATGAATTCACAGTTACGGGGATGTTAGAACGTCTAAATGCTTACATAGAACATCAGGTATGCATTGTAGATTTTCATTTCAAAGTTTTAAAAATTCTCTAAAGTTTTTTTTTTTTTTTTTTTTTTTTCAGTTTTTATGTTTTATTAACAGGTAATCACATGAGCTTCGCCTCAGTCTAAAAGATATAAACTTATTGTAACATGCCCATATGACTTTTAGTATTATATCCTTTAAAAAGTAATCCTGACTATGTACTCAAAAGCGCATATCTTGAAATGTATTGCTCCAGCTTTGATCTAGTCAACTACTAACAGCGGCTCTTTACAATTGACGTCACATTCCCCACCCTTCAAGTTTCCTGCTTTAGTATTTCGGGCTATGGCATAAAGAAAACATGACGGAAAAAGTCCAAATGATCTGATTAGCAAAGAGGCCAAGTGTGAAACCTAGGTTGTCAGGTTTAACTAAAGTGGTTTTGCAGTTGTTTTTCCTGTCTAAGAAATTGGGAACGTTAATTACCATGAATAACACAATGTCTGCCAGAATGTTTTTCGAATCATAAATAATGGCAGGCAATTAACGTGATTTCAGCTGGGAAGAGCTAATTAGTTTGTTCTAATCAGTTTTTGAATTAATGTCTTGCAGTGGTAGAGTCCTCATTTTAATTATTGTTCTATAAAGAAACAAGCAAACAGACAGCTGAGTGTGATATTCTATGTTTTTACACACAGGATTTCTGTAAGCCCAATAACTGGCCACCAATTAAGGAGCTGAAGATCACCACAAGTAAAGATGGCCAGTCGTGTGAGTTTGCCTGTCTGGAAGAAGGACTTGTCTGTGAACCAACATTTTTCACTGCAATAAACACTCAAGACACTTTGACAAGGTAATTAGTAACGCTACGACATAGTCTCAACTTTGAGTTTATTTTGCAATTGGATTGTAATTCGAGAGCATATTGCTTAAAGTTACCGCGAAGATCAGTTACAAAGCGACGGATGACTTACGACATTCACACGAGGAGTACCGAAGATGAGCGAAAGACTGCCGACGGTAGACCAGAGATACTCCAAATTGTAAACACGGATGGTTTGCCAAAAAAGTTGCAGGGATTGCTTGCAAACTTATATAATACCTCAAAGATTGTGCCAAGTCTGCTAAATATTTGCAATTAATGTTATGTGTCACTTTTTTTAGTGATTGCACATTTTTCCTAGTGCAATTATTTCATCATTTTTCTCTGTAACACTATGAAGTCAAATTTTAGTTGTTAGCTGTGCTGACAAAGCCCAAGACGCCTATATATCTGTCAGTGCAATAGTTTTATTTCTTATTACTGAATTGACGTCCAGGGAAACCAGTGCCTTCAAATTAGAAATTGTAATACTGGAAAAGCCCTACTAACCACCATATTGGCTGTCAACATAACCTATGAAGAGGTGCCTTGTGCTTGTTGTCTTGTAAACCATTTCCTCGTCAGAAAACAGCAGACCAAAATCAAATAGAAACGTTAACCAAACTTGGAAATGATGTAACAGCAATGATTCAAACAGCATCTCAAATATACGTTTGTGTTGAAACAGGAGCCATAAACGGGGACCTGATTATGTCTCCTGGTTGAAGTTAATTCTATATGTATGTTTTGTCTTTCAGAGCTGGGCTGTCCTGTAACGCATCCACAACAGTATCACGTGACAGTATTTTGGCGCCATCATTGGACACTTCAAACAACCTGTGCCTCCTTCAGAGTCAGTCATTGTTGTTCAGCTGCCGAGCAGCCAGGCCTGGTGTAGTTCGCCTCTGTCCGTGTCGCTCGTACCGTAAAGAACAAGTTGCATTGTGTGAAACGTGCTTGGAAAACAGCTATTATTAAACTACATCTGAGAGATGATTGAGTAAGAAAACGTCAAACGTAACAGAACTCACACTGCATTGTTTCTTTCGGTAGCATGCACAGATATAGTGCGTTTTTTGAAGATCTATAAAGTGGATACAAATATAGATGTAAAATGCAAAATTTTAAAAACTTATAACTCTCATTGTACATAGATCAATAACAATTATTACTGAACCGATCTATCCATACAAACCATACAGACCTTCAATTTTCAATCACCTTTTTCACTTTCCATTTGAAAAAACAATAACACCGAAAACAGCACCACGCACTCCATCTCAACGCAATGAACTTCGTAAGCTTCTACTTATCTTTTTGGGCCAAAATGCATTATAAATAGGCTGTTTGAAAACACGAGAACGCATTTCCACTGCAGGTGTAGGCTAATCCGGCTCTTTTTTATAACAACTTATTTGCATTAAAAAATGATATTTACTAATTACAAAGAGGGTGCCAACAGTGAGGAACCTAATCTTCATACATGTGTAACCTAAGTTTACTTGGATCGATTACAAATAAAGAAATCTAGCTGTGTTATCTGTTAACACCAATCATGGTGTCGCTTTGTTTTTCTTGTTCATTCATTACTTTTATTAGTCTCAGATTCGATCTGTTCACTCTGTAGCCGAGGTTTCATCGGAAGGTGACATTCAAAGGAGCTACGTCACGCTTTTCGCATCTTGAAAAGTTTAGCCAAAATTTTTGAAGTTCGTCGCTTGTAATGCGTGTTAGTCTTCTCCATCCTCAACCATCCCCTTTCCTTTATGGTTTTGTATTATCTTTTTGGTGTTTTATATATCTTAGTAAACTACTATTTTCAGGTTTCCGATAATTTAAAGGTAATTTTTGTGCCTGCCGAAAAGAACTGAAAATACCATGACTGAGCTCCTTTAATCGTCTGACTGATAAAAGTTTGCTGCTTGTAATTAAAGTAGCGTGACCTACATATTAGCCCGGCCGTTTACATGGCATGAAACTAGCGTGACGCATACGTAGCCCCTTTCTTTTAAATGCTCGTCCTATTACATCTGTCAGACAGACTTAATTACTTACTATGACCCACACTCTGTTGTACAGACGCAGCATAGTCGTACATACCCCCACCACCCCGTAGCACTTAAACGAAAGCTGATATTCAAATTGATAAAAAGTGATTGTCAAGTGACGATCGTGGCTAACAGCCTTCGTCAGAGACGCCCTTGGAACTTGTCACGCAATCTTCCTTCTCCCAGGTTTGTAGGAGAGGGACGCGTGACGAGTCCAAAGAGCGCCTTCATAGGAGACTGGTCGGAGGTAGGATAAACCAACATTGACAATATATTTATTTAATTTCCCTTCTTGGAGCGGATATCAGGAAAAAAACTGAAATCACAGTTGGCTGGCCTTTTAGAAATTTTAAGCCTGCATATTAGCAGATTTTAAAGAAATTAAATGAAACGCTTTATAAATGTACAGACAGCCATTACTCATCTTAGGGTCAAGAAGTAAAAGACGTGACGTTGTATACAAGTCCACTGATCTCCCTCATAAGCAAAGCTTGTTTCCAACATAGAATAATCAATTTTGCCATTTTTGCTCTACTTTGTGATCAGTATGAGTCGTCGGAATAATTGTAGGTATCGATTTGCGCGGGTTCCAGAACAAAACTGTTCACTGTTATAACCCATCAAATATTTTCGCTCGCGCGCGATTGGTTTAAATACATCACGTGACTGAATATTCCCCAGCTAAAACTGGGGAATGTCCGAGTGATATTCCCCAACTTTCAAAACCACGCGTGTTGTGAAAAATATATTTTAAGGATGATAAACACAATAGCCTCCATTTTGCGCGAAAATACGATCGGATATTTGTCCTTGGAAATTATCTGTTCTTCAAAGCTCACAGTTTTCCTCGAGCTACGCTCTCGAAAAACTGTTCGCTTCTCGGAACAGATAATGTCCGCGGACAAATATCCGAGTATATTTCCGCGCCAAATGGAGGCTATTTATAATCTATTCCTTCGCGCAGACGAAGAAAATTTAAATATCCCGCACTTATTAAAACGAGAAGACGAACCAATCAAATGATAGTTTTAATCTGCCGTTCGGTGCGTGGTGGCAAAACGTGTGCAAATTAAAATTGCAAATTCACATTGCTGAAACATTTGCTACGTTGAGTTCCTCGGTCGATTATCTACCATCACGTTCAAGAATTCGACTAGCGGAAATTCAACTCAGCACAGCTCGTCGACTTCTAGGAACAAGTACCAAGCTTTCATTTTGGACTGTCCTTTCGTCTGGAGCCGTTACGAGACACCAACACCTGCAACAGGAATTTAGTTCAAGCAAACCTTGCAAGCACGTGCTTCGAATGGTTTTCACGTCTTGCCAAGGTAAGAACTGCACCCACATTTTGTAGAGGCAATTTTCGGTTCTGTCCTCGTGTACCGGTTCACAAGAACCGACACTAAAGACCCAACAATGTTAAACAGCTAAACAAAGATTCGCAAAGAAAGGACTACAATGGTTATTCCCTCTGTGTACCGGTACACCAGGACACAACCCAATTCTCTTCGTTGAACGTTCTCTATGAATAGTTGGTAAACATTTCGAAACAATTAGCACTCTTCAAATTTTAGTTAAACCTTGACCACTCAGTACTGAACGTCGACCTTTTAAATTTCTGACTATCGGTGAATTCATTCGCGACCGTCGACAGAGCTTCTTTGGACGAAAACGTTCAAAGGACTGATAAAACTGAGTTCTTGTTCTCTAAAATGGATTTTGAATTCGCTCATTTTACATCGTGCGCTTTTGATTTTTATTACGTGTTGCAACGCAACAAAATGACATGTTCCAAGTTTGTTCTCCTTATTATCAGCAAGGCGAGCCTAATTAGAGAAGGCTGAATCCTTTGGTATCCTGAGCGCAATCGTACATTTTTTTTCTTATTTTAATTTTATCCTTTTCCAGGATTGAGAAATGACGATTACATGGACAGAATTAAACCACAGTGGTGTGACCCTTGACACGATTACTTCAGGTGAGTCACATCGTTCAGTCACAATCTCAAAATTTGTATTTTCCTAACGGAACGCCCACACATTTCTTTTAATGTCAGTTTTGAGACTTCAGCAGTACCTCAGGCCAATATGTCGAAGTTGAAGATTTTTGCTTTCTGTCATCACCTATCCACTTCATGACAATTTTCCGATGTCATAACACACGAATGTGGCCTAGATTGCCTAGGATAAAGAGCTTGAAAGAACGAAATGGAATAGTTTTATTATAGTTTCATAATTTAGACCCTCTTCAGCGGTACGCTTGCCTCATTTAAGGCCTAGAATGTGCGTTCTTGTTGTTCTGTCTGCTTTTGTGTACTGAGTTTGGCTCTGCGTGGCTATATGCATTCACAACATTTAATGTAAGCACATTTAATGCAGATTGAAACTTCAAACAGTTAAAGAGCTTGTTAGACTTACTTGCTGGTGATATTCTTCGCTCTTTAGGGGTAAAATTAAACGAGATATTGAATTTCAATTTTGGCAAAATTCGTGGGTGCTAAAGGCACCAGGGGACGGACCATTAGGAAAGAGGCGTGGGATCTTCAGCTTTCACAGTTATATTTGGCCCATTGCTTGTGAGCGTTTTTTTTTTTGTCTTTTTGGCATAATTTTATTTTCTTTGCCCCCCTCTTTTGCGCCAATTATTTTCCCCTGGCATTTTCGCCTGCATGACTTTTTTTGTTGTTTATTACAATGAAGAATCTTTTTGCGAAATGATATCATTACTTACGTTGCTTTCTTGCATGATCACTTTGCGGAAGGGTATTTCTAGCTGTGGCTCCTCGTGGTTTAAAAAAAAACAAAATAGAGATCTGCTGGATATTTAAGATAAGGAATATTTTTCTAATTGACAAAAATGGTGAGTTCATACGGTAATTATTTACTTACCATCTTGTATTACTTGTCTTGCTGAACACACCCCGACAGCTAAAGCAGAGTCGATTTTTGTTTGGGACGTTTAGTTGTGAACAAACACCTGTTCAAATTTCCGAGAAACTGACTTAAACCCTCATTAGTTGAAATTGCCAGAAACTTCCGTCGAATCACAGTCCACTTGTCCCGTAGCAGTTAACCTCGCTTGTCCAAACTGAAATGATTTTTGGAGACGACTTCAGTAAACAAAAAGAAACAAGCTTCCATTGAACAAGGCAACCTGGCGATATTTGCAAGAACCAACCGAAATTCAACTTTTTTCCCAAAAGACAAACCTTGGTGAGATTGTTTTGCGGGCTTTTGAAAACTAGGAAAAAACATTACTGAAATTTTGACAGTGAAATTCTTAACAAAGGTTTCTAGTGGTTACGTTTCTCCGTAAGAGAAGAATTGTTAAAGGCAAGAAATTTGCATCTGTGTTTCAGGCGCCCTCTTCGAAATATTTTTTTCTTTCGGTGAGGGTGGCTGTAACACAGACTACACATTGGTGAAGGACAGATAACTAACTCGCCGAACTAAATTTTATTTCACGTGGGCCTTCATCACATTGTTTATGACTATAAGCGAATAAATTCGCTGACGCAGAACACTGTCTTTTTATTCTCCCCTGGAAAATTTGGTGACCTTGAATTGCCTTCCAATGGTTGCACACGCCATGGCCGCCATGCTGATTTTACATAAAATGTAAATTAATTATTCATAGCAACGTGACTTTTGCAAGGTAAACTCATTCCCATCGGGAGATTTCAAGCAGATTCCATTGTGATAAATTTCTTACAGCGACTTCGTGTTTACAACTGAATCTTGAAATAAATTTATTCTCGAATTTAAAACCCGTGCGTCGCTTTTGCAGCAGAAAAACAAAGCCAAAAAAAAAAATCGACTTGGCAGTTGATAGTTCAGAGTACATTAAAGAAACCGTTTGTCTAACAATTCAAGTCTTTAGAAGAAGCCTTATTTACTGTGCTATCACCCAAATGAAAGTTACTGAGCTGTACGTTTAGGACATTATGTGTATTATTAGGAGATTTGTTTATTTTACCCTTTTGTGTGACTATTTAAGGGATCTTAACTTCCTTCCTTTTATCTCTTTAGGCTCTTTCGTTCGAATTAGTCCAGTACCTTCTGAACCTCCTGGTGAAAAGAGGAGAAAAAACACTGCAAAAAGAAAAGTTACAAGCGCGGGAAAACATTGAACCGATAGCAAGCGCTGGAACAAGGCGTAATCGACTGCAAGCGCGCGGGAAAACTTGTTATTGGTCACTGATGATAAGCGCGGGAAAATGTGTTACCAGTCACTGATGGTAAGCGCGGGAAAATATGTTGTCAGTCACTGATGTTAAAGCGCGGGAAAACTTGTTGTCAGTCACTGATGATAAAACCCGGGAAAACGTGTTATCGGTTATTGATAGTAAGCGCGGGAAAACGTAAGAGGTAGTAAATCTAGAACGGAACAAATCTAGTGACGTTTGACTGGAACCGCACTGTGCTTTAGAAACAAGTCATTTCTCGTTTGTTTTGTGTTGTTCTGTTGCGACTAAGTAATTCTTAAGTTGATTGGTCAGATTGAAGTGGCTGTAATATAACGAAAAATAGTATTGCCTTATATATATTTTATAAAAATGAAATGAGTGTACGATTAAAAACTGTGACACAACAAGGTGCTTGTTTTATTTTAGTTTCTTTGTCGATATCTTAAATACGTGATATATTTCCCTGAATATTGTGCCTTTTAAGCTTTGC